ATTTGAAATTTTATAAAATTATATTATTAAAATTTAAAAATTTTCTTAAGTAAACTTATTCATTATATTAATAAAAACATATAATATATATAAAGTTTATAATATTTAGTTAATAAAATTTTTATTTATAAATAAAAATAAAAAAAAATTTTTTTTCCAAAAGCGAGTGTCCCACACTGTATGATGATTGTTTAAAGCGCAGGCTCTACACTACGCGTAATAAAGGAAATTAGAAATCATTCCAGGTTTTTTTTTATAAAAAAAAAAAATATTATTTCTGTTTAACTTTTTTTTTTTTTACAATAAAAACACCAGAGAATTTATCTTCATTACAGTCTAATTATAATTCGCAGTTAAATATAAAAGATAATTTCAACCAGTATTATGATTTCTTACATATATGTTTCTTAGATAACTACGAATTTTTTAACCGGTTGAGGAAAGTTACAGGAGTGTTATTGTCGCGAGGTTTAGGCTTCCAGATCGTTAAATTATGTAATTTGTTGTCTAATCCATAATGATCGCGTAAGGAATCATAATTAAGGAAATATTTTAGGTAATTTTTTTTGTTTTATTTGGCTGCCATGGTTTTTTCCCGAAACGTGTGGTGCTTGCGATTTAAGACACGACTACATACTTTCTGAAATGTGTGATTTTAGAATATTTACGAAGTAATTTATAGATTTCTACCTTATGATAATATGCATGATGCATTATTCAATTATTAATAAGTAATCTAATAGAAAGCAAGAATGTAGAACCAGAGATTTGCCTGGAAATATCTCTGTGTTATCTCAGTTTATTCAGCAGTGAGTTTATTTGCACAGAGATGAAAAGTATGCCGGTTTTATGAAATATTTAGTTATGTAACGCGGTCAAAGAATTAAATAAGAGATGCTCACTTATTATCTGAACTGTTTAAATACATTCCCCATCCTCAGAAATCCATACTTTCTGACTCATAGATATTTTATTAGTTATCTATACTGTAAATAAATTTATTAGATAATTGGGCATCTGGAACTACGCAGTTAGTGTAGTAAATGACTTTTCTGTTTTGATTCAATAACAATGTTTACTAAAAATATTATTTGATTTCTGTTTAATAATAATAATAATGATAATAATACGTAATAATTATAATATTAATAATAATAACAAATTAAGAAAATTCGGGATAAACAAGAAGGAAAAAAATGTCGTTTATATACCTTATATAACTATGAGAACCAATTTTGAAGGTTCTATAACTTGGAACTGAATTTTTTCATTGACTAAGGGAGTGCTTAAACTGTGAGAACTTATTATTAATTCCGTGTGATAACATCAATATAGGAATTCGGTATGTTTTAACAGACGTATTTTATGAAAAATTTTGGCAAGTCTGTCGCCAACTAAGGAAGCAATTTTTAATCATTTAGTGAATTAATTAAATACGTATAATAATCATACTAATTTAGTTTTCTATTTTACTTTCGCGCTTTTGTTAACCTCGTCGTGTTCCAGTATCGCTATTCTTTCTTCTCTCACAACGTTCATAACTATATATTCACTAGTTTTTTAAGCTATTGGGCCCAAAGCAGTAACTTATACTGTATAAAGTAATTGAAAAGGTGTATTCATGAAAATATTATGCAATACAAAGGTTGAATTAAGCATTACATAATAAGTTACTTTCAAAGCTAAACAATAAAATCAAAATATAAATTGGCCTCTAATTGTTTCACTCACACAACACTTACGTACTAGTGTCGACACAAGGAACTTAAACATTCATTGTTAAACATTATTTGAGTTGTTAGTTACAGCACTTGTTATTATACATATTACAGATACATTCGAAATAAATGTAACATTACTACATTTCTAAATAATAATTTGAGTTGTTCGTTATGCTTTCTTAGGGTCACAATTTTATCGCACAACACAATTACTAATTACTATTTAGTTATTTGCTACATTACTTACACAGCATTGTTTTGTTTGTCCATTGTTAAATAATATTTAGAGTTATTTGTTTCACGTACAACAATTGGTTCACAAAATCAATTACCAATTAGAAAAATACTTACAGTATATATATTGTTATTTAGAGGTACGGTTAAAGTTTTCTGGCTTAACAAAATGATTATGGACAAGAATAATCGTAAGGAAGAAATGGAGAGCTATGCAAAAGAGGATTATACCATAATACATATAAATAATAATAAATTCGAAGAAGACAATGACGCAAATAAAATAGAAAGTGAATTAATAGATAAAATCGAAAAAAACAAACTCGTAAACAAAGATAATGACGTAGAGAAGATAGAAAGTGAACCGATAGATAAAATTGAAAAGAACCAACTCGTAAACAAAGAGAATGAAATAGAGAAAATAGAAAGTGAATTGAAAAAAATAATTGAAGATGACAAAGGCGGTCACGTATACGATATAATGAAAGAACTTATTAAGAAAGATGAGAAAGACAAAAAGGAATATATTTCCGTAGTTATTAGAGCATTTCATAATTCTAAATGTTCAGATGGAATGTACGACCTTTTAAAAATGATCAACTCAGAAAAGAATGACCGCGAAATCAACATCCTTTTGATACAGGAAGTCATTGAATATGAGAAAGACGATGAATACCCTAAAATACTTACTTATTGTTTAGGAAAAGCAATTGAAGCTGACCATATACCCTTAATGCAGCAAATCATTGGAGAATGTTGTAGGAAGAACACAATAGAATCTATGTCGGTAATTACTAGGGTACTTCCGCAGCTCGCCCTTCGATACCCGAACATACTTTCTTATGCATTGGAAAAGTCCGCTTATAAATTCGGTGGTTCTATTCGCGGTCCGGATACTTTTGATACGAGAGACCCTGATAATATTCGTTTTCCCGACTATGTGGCAGTGCTCCCCGGTCTATTTAATCGTCCGAAGCTAAAAATAAATGTGCAGGAAAAACTTAAAGCATCTTATCTCCAAAAAATAATTGAATCAACAATACTTGAATTCTTTCTTCACGACCTCAGTTGCTTTCAGAAATTAGCCTTTTACCGTTCTGCCGAGACTTTTAAATCGCCAATTTTCGATGCAATTGTCATGTACATGTATCGTGAAAAAAACATTTGGATTATTTTTTCCTTGCTAATGTTTTATTACGCCATCCATTTTGGCCTTTTTATCGCGGTGATTAGCAACACCAACAGAAACGAAAAGTTGCAGATTGCAAGTTTATTCGTTGGATTGCTTATGACATGTGCTTGGTTTGTTATGTTTTCAATGTACATTAAATTTGTATTTTGTGCACATAATGTGCCAAAAGGTCGAATCGCCCGTATTTTAGTCTTTAAGACATGGGAAATCATTGTTGGGTTCGCAGCACTGGTTCTTCCTGCTATTACTGTGTTCTTGGAATATTATAGTAATACCACGTCTCCTGGTCTCCAATCAGTCTCAATATTATTCGCGTGGATTTTTGTTATTTTACGGCTTCGCATATTTAAGGGCTTCGGCATTTTTATTGCAGGTTAATTAATATTTTCTGATAATTCTGCTCTAAACAAAGAACAGTAACCCAATACGTAATACTAATATTTCTACTGCAAAAATAGTTTTTGAGGAAATCATTTGGAAGATCAAATATCTACTCTTATTTTTATTTTTCGTACTATTCGCCTTCTCCCATTCGTTATTTATTCTCTTGTCAAAAACCCCTCCTGATCCAACTACATCAAATTCATTTACAAATTTTGGCGATTCTCTCATAAATACATGGTCAATGCTTTTGAATGACTACAGTTCACTGTATTCATGGTCGAGCAACAGTCTACTATTCATCTACAAGATTGGCTTCTCATTTAGCACATCAATTATAATTTTTAATGTTCTGAGTAAGTGGTAATATCATCCCATCAAATCTAATAACTACTGCATTAACCTTTTTTTTTTTTTTATAGTTGCGCTTATGAATAATGCCTATGAAGAAATATATGTAAATGCACGAGCGGTTTCGATCGGACAAATAGCATCGACCATTGTAGAATACGGAATTACGAATAAAATATTGGGTTTTATACATTATGAACGTTGCAACTTTATTGCTTACGAGATTCCCTTCGACATGGTGGATAAACATGAAAAACAAGGATTTGATGACAGTTAACGATACTAGAGAGATTTAGAAAAAAATATGAGGATTTTGACAAAATACCGGGAGGGAATAAGGAGTTAAAAAATGAAGTTTTACGACCTCATGGAATTATAATATTTCTAAATCTCTGTTAATTTTTTGAAAAACTTTTGCCTATAATTATTTTACTACATAGTGATTTTTTAAATAAACATTAATTTATTAATGTTTTAAAACATGTACGTAATAAGAAAGCGTGACTGATTTTCGCCGGTCAGTTAAACAGGTTTAAACCAGTTCGCACGAAGCACAATTAAAATGCCAAACCGTTGAAATTATCTTTAATTTTTGAATTCTTTTATGTCTTCAAAATTCTTAGACTTTTAATTATTATAAGATTAAGATTTCCGAAAGTAGACCGATGCAAAAAATAAAATAATTTGTTCTAGCGTAATATTTAGAAAAGTACGATATTTTAGGTTGCGGTATTGATTTAAGTTGTCTTTCTTGTTTTGAGATGTATTTAAAACAAGAAGTTAAGTTTTATTAATCAATCGAAGTTTTGTATAAATAATCGCGGACGAACATTTGGTATACAGTACCTAGAGTCACGTCTAATCCCCCTTATATTTTTAGATAACTATTTAAAGTTAAAATATTATATGATATAATATTTTTACATTAATAAACGTACAAGCTAATTAATATATAATTTGGGTTTTTTTTTTATTTTTTTTTTTTTTAAAAATTCTTTAAAATTTTAATTATTAAATTAAAATAAATAAACATAGTTGCAAATATTTTACATGCTTGGACTAATTTAATTATATTATTTTCTTTTTTTTTCGAATATGCGAGAATAGCATTTAGATATTTATTTTAGAGCTTTTAATTGATATAAGGAATATTACAAGGAGGTCGATTTTTAATAGGAATGAGGAATAGAACAATGATGTTAATTTTTAATTAATATAAGGAATAGAACCAAGAAGTCGATTTTCAATCTACATTAATTGGCACAAGGGATAGAACAAAGAGATCAACTTTAATTTGTATAAGTAATAGAAAAAGAAGACAATTTTAATCGGTATAAGGAATAGAACTATAAGGTCAATTTTCAATTTGCATTAGGAATAAAACAAAGAGGCCTATATTTAAATGGCATAAGTAATAAAACAAAGATATTAATTTTAATTGACATAAAAAATAGTACAAGGGGCCAAACGTAATCAAATTAGGTCGTGCAAAATTTCATATTGTGTTACCAAATGGCGAAAGATATCTGTGTAATTTACGTATAATGAAACTTTAAAATAATAAAATACATGCTGTGAAAATGTAAAAGAAAGAAGGCGCGATTTCTACAAAATTGCAATATTCGATCAGAAACTTTTATTAAAATTATTGGTTCGCAAATGGCTACGTAGTTAACTGCATAATTTTGATCTTATTTATGACTAAGCATTTTAATTACAATACAGTACAAATATAAAAATTAAATATTTTATGTAACACCTTTTATTATAGCATTATGTGCATGATTATGTACCGGTAAACAGTTTTTTATCGACTTTGCAGAGAAAAAAAATTACAACATCAAAGAGCTACAAAGTTTAATATGAGATTTTGTTTGACCATTCTTTTAATGCATTTTCTTATTGGTACTTTCGCCTATAGGACTCATTTAATAGTTAATAAATATAATCATCGTAAAAAGACTCGTTATATTACGATTTTGAAAGAAACGAAAGGTTGACCTGCGATGTTCGACCTGATTTTCGTGCCTCAAGTTGTGAGCAAGATGGGGTGTAATTATTCAAGTATCTCCGTTATAATGCGTAATTATAAATGAGGTATAATTAATTAAATAACCATTACAATGGCGCAATAGATAAAGTATATCATATTATTTTAATATATTTTATTTTTTGTTCGTAAATAAAGAATTCCTACAAAAATTTTCTAAAAAGGACCTTGAAGATAATATAGAAGAAAAATGGCAGAAATGAATGAACACATCAAAGCCATTGAGACTTAACTTGATGGCCCTACTTGAGAGAAAGATTTTGATGAAGCAAGCCTTAATGAATATCAAATGGAAGAACCTACACAAAGTCAATCTACAGACATTCCCCTACCCTCAGAAACCCAGACACAAACCATCAACCCAATCAAGCAAGTAAGAAACCAGCAACAATACATTCAAAACAATATATACCAGATGCACCAAGAATTTCAACTAGCCATGCAGAACTTAGGCACACAACACAACAACAATATCACATTCAACAAAGGATACCAAACAACCTTCACCACCCCCAACAACCAATGATAGACTTAATGAACTCCCACCACCCATACCCAATGGCATAACAAAAGAACGCAAGCACCCCCTACCACAACCTCTCCCCACCAAACACACAATTTATCTCCTTCCTCCACCTTTATACACAAAAACAAATACCAAAAACTGCGAGAAATCTTTCCCCTCAAAAAAAAAAATCAAATCAAAACAACAACATAGAAGCAGATATAAACAAGGACAAACCCTTCTGGACCATCACCACACTCAATGTTCAAGGCTTAACCGAATTACACAAAAGAGAAACTTGGATGGAAATGTGGAAACAAAACCAATGGAATATCATAGTGTCCACAGAAAACAAATGGACTCAGAAAATCACACAACTGGAAACTGAAGGATACATAATATAGTGGACATATTCCAACCCAATCAGATCTAGAGTGGGCATAGCAATCAAGCAAAAACTTGCAGACCACATCATTAGCAAACAAATAATCGAAGGCTGTATCATCTGCATTGACCTGGCTTTTTCCAGGAAAAGCTACTATAGAATCATAGATGTCTACTTAGTAGCAAAACCAGGCAAAGAGAGAGACACCATTCAGAAACAAATCATAAACCTAGCAAAACAACACATCAGCAACAACTGGTACATAGCCATCACCGGAGACTTCAACACATACCCAAACCCTTGTCTAGACAAATTCAGTACAACTCACAAAATCCAATCAAAAATAGAAAATCAATTCTTCAATATACTGAAAAAACTTGGATTTATTGACACATTCAGATATTAAAACCCCACCATACGAGGCTTCACATGGTCATCACAGTACACAAATAGTAGAATAGACAGCATATGAATCCACTCCAAACCAACATGGACCTCAATAGACATAAATATACATTAAAGCTGGAGCAGTATTATCCACACAGACCACAAGGCTCAATCGTGCACTGTTGAATTCTGGCAAATAGAAATACCATACAAATGCTTAAAAAAACCCAATAATAATACGAGATATAACTGGACCAATACCAAACTCCAGGTTGGAAGCATTTCAGAGAAGATATAGAGTTCTTTGCAACAACATGGAAGAAAGACATCAATAATAGAACAACATCAATAGACCACAACTGAAATGCTCTCAGAGAAGCAATATTATTACATGCCAATAAACATATCAAAAAGATTAAAGAAAAGCAGTGCCAACAACAATGCCCAATCGATAAATCAAGACCCATCATTCTTTACAACTCATGCAACTAAGAAAAGAAGTAGCAAAACTCAAAAAGGACCCAAATACCTGATTACAGCCTGAGGCAATGAATCTACATCAAGCAATATACCAAACAGTATCAATCCTAGAATTGACCCATAACATCAAACCTGAGAGATACATCAAAGCCATCGATAAGCAAATTTAAACAATCAAACTGGGTTTCAAAAAAGATATACATACAAAAATACATAGGACAAATAGCATTTCAAAACTAACAGAGAAAAATGGCTGAGTACAGTTAAGAAACGGATAATCAAAACCATTCTAAATGACTTAAATCATAGTATTATTATCAGCAAACTCATAAAACAAGAAGATAACAATGAAAAAAGCATAATTTTTGAACCTAAAAAGATTAAACAAACAGTCAGGAATCACTTTGAACAATGGACAAAAAGTTGAAACATAATTAATTACTGAGGTACCACCTGGGAACAAGACTATGAACCTCTCCCCAATATCCAAGAAGAGTGGTTTTTTGACACAACACAAACCATTACAATAGAAGAAGT